TTGTACCCAATATCAATAACCCACTATACCTAACCTGACTTAGCAGTTGCTTTGCATGGTGCATTTGATTCCTTGAGGAGTCACAGGGATTAATTTTTAATTGTACAATAACTCGCCGTTTTTACATGACTTCATAGTTGTTTCCTAATAGTATGTTTGAATACGTGGTTTCGAAGGGGTTCATTTGTAGCACTGGGCTGGTATTGTACCTTTAATTTCTTTCATTATCTACCAGCATTCCCTGGATTCCTGGGTAGTTAATGCTCACTTGAGGTTCCTGACAGTCATATTACACTGTATTTCCATTTTTCTCACCCATATAATCTTCTCTGTGGATATGAATAGGCAAAACAGATCAGCCCCAGACGTTGGAGACCGAACCTACTGCTTGGGCTTTCTCCAGGGACAGAAAGGAAAGCAGTGGTTTCCTGCACCACATTGAGCCCTCCAGTTAGAGAAAATGGGATGCCTTGTGTTCTAAGGGTTTCAGGCTCGTGAAGGACTACTGACATCACACCTCATTGCCCTTCCCCCCTGTGCTTTATCTTACCTCCAACCACAAATCTCACTTTTGGTCTTCGCAGGTGCATCCTCCAGTTTGGAAGCTTTTCATACTGAGTCCCCCCCATCCCTCCTGTTGTCCTCCCCTTCTCTCCCATGCTGTTTCTGGCAGGCTCACCCCTTCTTTGGGAACGTTCGGAGGTCTCCGTTCGTAGCGGTGCCGCCGTTTCCCCTATGGACTCTCTGCCATCCTTCCCTTCTCTGCCCCATCTCCCTTTTCAGGCCCTCCCTGTGGCTCTAAAGCTGCTCCTAATCTATTCATCCTGCTGGGTTCCTTTTTGTTGTCCTTTGTCTTTCCCCACCCTTCCCCCTGTGCTGCAGGGCTGCACACCTTCTCCCTCCATCTCCTCCCGGAGGCTCAGAGGGGTGGCCTCACCTTCCTGCATCAGTCCATGGGTGCTGTGGCTTTGGATCAAAGCTGGAACTCTCCTTCCTGCCAGATGAAACTCTTGGCATTTTGTGGCCACAGACTTGTGGTTCTGTGGCCGCAATTTAATGTTTCTACATCAATTACTGGGGTGATTCCTCCAAGATATGTTGCAGCAATACAATAGGTAGACAAATGCTATTAATTATGCCAAAATACATAAATACATTGATAGAAAGTAGATCATGTCATACTACACTGACATGTAACATTTGCTGTTACAAAACTCAAAAAGTAATTTCTTAGGTCTTTAATGTTGAAGAGAATCAGTCTTGGAGGTATATGTCCCTGTTACTGATGAGGCTGGAAAACATTCACATAAAGAGTGAAAGGCTGACTCGATCCTTAAAACATGATTTTTAGTTTGCTGGTTTCCCCAGATTTGAGGGTATTGGAGACTGGGTTTATTAGCTGCATCCTACTACATTGTGCTTCTGCTGCTGGACATTAATACCAGGTCCTGATGAACTCTCACTGGGTGTCCACTGTGTATCTTAAGTTTTATGGTAGTTTTATCTTGCTATACTTTTAGATGTCTTCTAAATAAATGAAGAATTAACAGCAAAAATAATGAAAAAAATTCACCACTTTAAAATAGTAAAGACAAAACCCTATTTTTTTCATCTCTCATCCTTCTATATAAAGAGAAACGTACTCTTCATTCTCTTTATTTCACTGGCAAATGGAAGCTGTGCATCCAGGCTGCTTTATCCCACAGTACATCTTGTGACTACAGTGAGATCTTAATTACAGAGATGTCAGTGCAGCACCTGGCACTCTGTTGTGCTGTGGGCAGGGCCGGGCTGTGTGAGGTTTGAGGAGGTCCCTTGGGCACATGGAATGCTGCCATCCTGCTTGTCATGTGTTCCTGGAGCTGGAGAACAAAGCCACACCACACTGAGCAAAGCCAGGTCATGGTATTTATCTTTATTTGTGATTCACAGTTTGTCACTTGGTGCCAGGGAGAGCCAGGAAGAGGCACATGTGTCTCTTGTTCTTATGTCCCACAGCTCCGCTCTTCTGCGAAGGTGCTACATTGATAATGAGCCGCTGGAGGAGTCAATGGGAACAATTTGGGAACAATTAGTTTCCTGTTCTCGTGAGGAGCTAAGGCAATACCCCGGGGACATCACAGCTCAGCAGATGGCATTGGGCTGGGGTGTGAGTGAGTGTCCTGGCACCGGGGCACCTCGGATTTGCACGTTGCAGGTGGATTTGGAACGGAATGGAATAGAAGAATAGAATATTTTCAGTTATAAGGAACTTACAGGGGTCATCTAGTCTCAGTGCCTGATGCTTCAGGGCTTCCCAAAAGCCGAGGCACACTGTTAGGGGCCTTGTCCAAATGCCTCCTGAACACTGACAGGATTGGGGCGCAACCATGTCTCTGGGAGGCCTGTTCCAGGGTTTGGACACCCTCTCAGTAAAGAAACGCTTCCTAAAGCATCCCAGGTTTTCAGGTCCCTTTCCCACTCTTGTGTGTTCCTCCAGTTCGTCCTCAAGCCAAATCCATTTCTGTACCTCCAGATTGTGGCTGTCAGAGCCGTGCCATGTGAAGTCACAGCAGCGGGTGAGCAGGGCCTGTGAACAGGCAACAGCTGTCACCTCCTGCTCGCTGCCACGAAAGCCTCCACTGGCATCTGTGACTCAGGCCCGTACCAGTCACCCCCAAATCATCAGCACTTCTGGCTGCGGGTGAGCGACAGCTTTCTCCTGTCAGCTCAGAGTGGAGCCTCTGGAGCACACGCAACTGTTCCAGGCAGGTTCAGGATTTCTATTTTAGGGATAATCACATATTCTGTAGTGATAAGTTGTCATTTTTAGAAATTCAGTGTGTTGTGCACAAAAAGCAACACACTGCTACTATGATTTTCTTCCTCAAATGTTAAGGTTTGCTTTTCCTTTAAAGGGATCATGGAATCGTAGAATTGCTCACTTACACAGAGTTGTCAGATTGCTGACTGAATCCTGCAGAAAATACTGGATCTGGAAAACCAGTCAGTGCCTGTTCACTAACATCATCTGAACTTCCCATCAGCAGAACTGTGTATTAATTTATTAAAAGTGACATCTCTTCTGATAGGTTCAAGGGCCTGGTGAATATTCATATCTAGGTTTGTTCCTGCTTGCTGACTTGAGCAGGCTTCCCAGAGCTGTTGTAGTCATGGATACATGGAAATGACACTTTGGGGTTTGTTTTCTCAGTGGCAATGCTTTTATACACAATATTCCAAACATTATAATAAAGAATTGTCAAAAGCTATCCTGGAGCAATGGCAGATCGTGAGCGCTTGGATGTGGTTTAATTGCCAAGGAAATGCTGTCCTTCAAAGGAGCTCCCTGTAGCTGAGTGTCCTCTTGGAGTGCTTCTTAGAGACAGAAGGTCAATCAATGGATTTGATCACACGTGGAAAACATTTGATCTGTTACCCCAAATGCTTCAGCCAGAAGATTTCAAGCAGAATATTTATGAAGAAGCTGTAGCTGCAGTTCTGCATTGCTCACTGCAGCCTCTCTAATAGGGGTGGTAGGTAAATCCTCAGTAAACCACTGCTTAAATAAAAAGCTCCAGGGAGAAGGGATGTGATGAGGAGCTCACACAGCACCCGTGCAGCTGAGCCTTTCCTCCAGAGCCGTGGGAGGCCATCAGAAGGATGGGGGGGGCACTGGTGTCCCCGTGGGGTTTTTTCATGGAGACTCCTGGAGCAATCTGTGGGAGATCAATAGAATCATTAAGGTTGGAAAAAACCTGCAAGGTCATTGAGTCCAACCTTTGACCGATCACCACGATGTCAACTAAGACAACTAAACATGCACCAATTGGTTGTGCATCTGCCCTTCAGCGTCGCTGGTAGAGTGGAGTGGGAGTGTGGGGAGATAAGTAGTAGGAGCTGGCCCAGATTCTGTTTTCAATTTCATTTGGCAAAGTTTTCTGAGCTCTCCTGTAGAAAATGTCCCACAAAAGTGACAATAACAATATTTTGGATATAAGCCTAGCACAAAAGGGTAATAGGAACTCCATGGGCATGCGTGGGCTCTTGATTCATCCTCAGAGATGGCAGATGTGCATTTATTTAAGATCTGGGAGTGGGACTGGTAATATTTATAGTGAATGCTTTGCTCCTACTCTTCCTATGCGATTTTGGTCTCCACTGTTGGTCAAACACTGGGTCAGTGCTCATTGTTGACCATCTCATGCATCATTCACACTGCAAATCCCCAAGCCCATGCCAAGCATTTCTTTTCCTCTAGAAAACTGGCGTGGAATGCTGACGGTCCCCCACAGGATTGGGCTCTCATGGTGGAACTGTCAAGGGCTGACAGATGTACCAGAGACAGTGCAGCTCAGTCCACCAGCGAGCTCCTCCTTATCTTGTCTTCTTTATCTAAAAGTGGCACTAAATTAGATCACAGCAGTACTTCAGTATAAAAATAATTTTGTTTGCAGCAGCTGCCGATCAAGGCAGTGGTGAGGTGTTATAGCTGCATAGTCCTTTCTTGCCATTGCTTCTCACCCTGGCTCTGGAAAAAAGAATGGGTCTGGCCCAGGTGGGCTTGCACATGAAGGGAGTGGAAGGCCATCCCTGTCCTCTAAATGCTGCCCTTGGGCAGCACCACCACCAGCCCACCCTGTGTTGAACATGCATGGGTGGCTCAGCGCGGTCGTGTGGAGCGGAGCAGTGTCCTGTGTGGGGCGTGGGGCAGGGGCTCGTTGTGTTCCCTGCTCTGCCACGCTCAGAGTTTGTCCGTGAGCTCTGAGACCCCTCCTTTATCCACACAGGTCCAAGCTGTATTTTAACTTGTGCTAAACCACTAATTCAGTAACCTCATTGAACCCTCTGCCAGCTCCCTCAAGCAGATGAAAAGAGACTTGACAGAACAACTGCTGTCCTGCAGCAGTTTTAATAAAAGCTTAGCCAATGTTCTTAGTTGTCTCCCTGCCTTCTTTTAAATGCAAGCTCATTGCAGTAAAGCATTTACAAATTTAAATTCTTTTTTCTTTACCTTGTAGTGAACTTTGACCACTTCCAGATTCTCCGGGCGATTGGGAAGGGAAGCTTTGGCAAGGTAGGCCTGAGCGCTCGGTCTTGTGGGGTTTATCAGGTGTCTACTGTTATGTACTTATGGGGTATTGAAACAGAAACAGGACTGAAATAGGCTATTTTTATATTTTTTGTGATGGCTGCTCAGTGAACACAGGAAAAATGTTCAGGAAAATACCTTGTTGCCATTTGGCGCTGCTTTATTTCTTGGCATCTTGGTGAAACAGGTGTGTTTTAAACTACTAGCACAATTGTGACCATTTCACAGCAAACGTTCATTATGGTTTGTTTCCTGTGGGGGTGTCTGGACTGTGAGGGGATAGTAAGTCAGGAAGGTGCTGGAAGTTGTCCTGGGTGATGGACTGAGCTGGCACACTGTGGTCAAGGGGGTTCTCCGAAGTCCTGGGCTTTTTTCCCAGTCAGAAATGAGTTATGCTGAAGAGGTTTTATTGTTTATTTTTAACAAGTTTTTTTTGCCAAGCATGTGGGAAGAGGTGGGAGGTGATGATCAAAAAGCTGGATAGCTCTGGAAATCAGTTACTGGTTGGTTTCCTAGTGTTAGTCCTTTTTCATTCCCTTTTTCACTGACTCTCACTTGATGCCTGTGTAGGTGACTTTGCTGCATCTCTCATGGCATTTCCAACCCGAGTTTGCACTGCCAGCACAACCTTGAGTGTGTGTATGCGTGTCCTTGGATGCATGCAAGGCTTCATTGCATTCATTTTATCCCATGTTTTACTGTGAGCCAGCAGTGGTTGTGTCCCTCTGTAGCTGAGTCACCTGTGCCAATGGACAGGAGCTGTGGGAGCGACAGCCCCAGTGATGATCCCTGAACACACTGAATTGGCTTGTCACCTTCTCAGGGGATGGTTGTGTGGTGCAGGGTTGTGTGCAGGACTGGGGCTTCAGGCAGGGAAATGGCCTTGAAAATTGTGTGAAACGTGCGATATCAAACCTGTGGAATAGCCCAGCCCAGCTCAGAGAGGGACACAAGTGTCCCCAGACACTGGTAAGAGAAACTGAGGACAAGCTGAGCCGTCAGGGAAAGCTGTACGTGCTCATGCTTCCTGCTGGTTGCGTCATCTTGGCTGGTTTCTCTCACTGTGCTTTGTTCAAAAGCTGATGCCATGAGGATGAGAAAATCTGAACCTGGCTCTGGAGGTGACCTGCCCTGTCCTTTGCCTTCTCCCTCTGCCTGGTGCAACCTGATGAGGCAATGTCTGACCAGGCCATGGCCTCAGGAGCAGCCTGACCTGCTGTACTCGGATGGCTGGAAACTGGAGACTTTGCAAAGGCAGAAATTTCTCAGCAGATCTGAGACCTGTTTGGCTGAAGAAGAGCCCAAATTTTTACTGATTACTGGAAATCTCTTTTTAAATACTCAAAATGCACGAAGTAGTGTCAGTGTTGAGTAATAGCAGCAGCACAAAATCCAGCCACAGTCTGGGGGGGTAGAGTCCAGCTTTTCTGAGAGTCATGAGCGAGGACAGTATTAGTCACAGTGCTGCCATTAGTGCTGCTTGCTAATGAAGTCGTTTCGTTACAGCCTCAGTGAACTGACGAACACTGAGGTATCTATTAGACTGCTCTGGCACAATCCACCCCCGTGAATTCCTGCTGGGCTTCGATGTAAGTCTGCATGGGACTTCCAGGGCTAATGAAAATGGATTGCCAGCAGTGTGTAAGTCACTGAGGGGGTGGTTTGAAATAGTCACCGGTGTTTGCAGCCACGTCCCTTCAGCAAGGAGAGGCAAAAGCTGGCAGCAGAGCTCTGTCAAATTTCTGGACTTCTGTTAAATGATGGTGAATTATTAAATACCAGCTCAGATCCTTCCGTGGGGCAGCACTGTGAGGATAAGGCAAAGAGCAGAGGAAAGTCTCCCCAGACACTCCTGGTGAGAATGGAAACTCTCAGGGTCTTGTCAGTTCATCTCACTGTCAAAGACCAAGGACTAACTCAAAATCTCAAAAAGAGCAGCTCACTTTTTTTTTTTTCAAGCTGATTTAAGAAAATTCATATTTCTAAAAGTAACTTTCCAGAGAAGGGAGTTTTATTCTTTTGAGCAGCAGCACTTGGAAAATTAATTCTGCTGAGAACATGAAATGAAGAAAAAAAAAGTGATTATCCCAGGGCAGGATAAGAAGACTTTGAAGAGAGCTGCTCCCCAAGGCTGCTCTGTTCCTCGTGGCTGCTCCTTGTGGCTGCTCACTCCTCTGTTTATGCTGCAGAAAGGTTAAGTCTAGCACGTAGCAGTCTATCAGGCATCAGAACTGTACATACACTTTCAACAAAATGCTGAAATGATTCATCTGTCATCTTTCTGGATAATTATGTCAATATGCTGAATTTCCTCTGACACTGAGAAAAGCTTTTTGCATTTACCAAGTCATTTACAACTCGCATTTAATTACAGAAAACATGGAACTACCTACCTGGAAAGTGGTATTTGAAATTTAGGAGTGGTTTAGTTGCTTTGGTTGATTTAACCACTCTCTGCCCACGTTCAGGAGGATATTTAGGAGCCGGTGTCCCATCCATCTCAAAGTAGGGGTGTAGAGCCTCAGTGTGCATGAATGACCTGTGGAATCTGATGCTGTGTGATCCCATGGTGATGGGACCCGGGACCAGCACCTGTGGGGACTTTGGGCTCAGCATTTCCTTCACGCTCATTTTGTGCACCCCTCAGGACAGACTTGTGTGGTCATCAGTACAGGAACTATAGGAAAAGAAGGGAAAAGGAAGTCACAAATCCCTTTTGAAGAGCCTGAGAGACCTTGAACTGTGGCTCGGGTGTATCTGCAGTAAACGGCCAATTTCTGTTTGCTAAAGGTGGGTTTAATCAGCTTTAAGATGCCATTAATCCAATCAAGGTCATGTTCAATTCCATGTTTACTCCAATTAGCAAGTGCGTGATATTTTCCACACATATTAGAGGTGATATGATTTGATTTTTAGTAATTTCATAGCAGCATGGTGTTCCTCCTGTAGCACAGCCTCCTTTCCAAGCAGCAGCAGTTGCTCAGGTTTTGGCTGCTCTGGTGCCATTTCCCAAGTAGCAGCAGCCAGGTCTGGATTTCCAGAATAAGATGCAGCTTGTGACCCTGTTTTAATGGGGAACGTGCTCTGAAGTTCACTGTGCTTCATAAAAGATGTGATGAGACCCAGAAACCTCTGAAGGCGTTGGTGGTGTTGCAGTATCCTGATACCTCCCTAAGTAAAAATTGGCCTCTCCTGGCTTCAGTCCCCATCCGTTTGAACCATGAGGGAGCTGAGGGTGTTCATTCCTGAACTCCTTCTCCTGCCTGGGCTTACCTCTCAATTCACCAGCAGATCAGCCCCAGCTGCCTTTTTCAAGGGATAAAAAGCTGGATGGGGTTGTGGGAATTCATTATATCCACTTCACTGCTGTGAAGAAATAAGAACACATCTGAAGTTTTTCAGCACCGATTTATGTCTTTGTGTGCCTTTGGAAATAGAGGATTAAACCAGGGATGGGGATGGAATGAGCAGCAGCAGCAGGAAATGGAATCTTCCAGGGGAACCATATGCCTGGGATGGGTGCCAGTGGCCCATAGGGGCTGGAGGCCTGGCTTTTGGTTTTCTCTAGAGAGGGCTGGGTGTCCTGCTCCTTGTGCCCAGCTCCGCACTGACCCTCCCAAGGAGGGCTGGCTGTGCCGTGGGTTGCTTTGCACAGGTACTTCAACTTCATGATTTTGTTGCTTTAATAATTCACACAGCCCAGAGCTGGGAATAGAAAGGCTTTATTCCATTTTCTAAAGGTCACAAATGCCCACCCAGTAGCTGCATCATAAATAAAATTCCCTTCAAGTCTGTTCTCAACTGAATCTCTCTTTGACATCAACACAAGCTTGATCCATTTTCCTTTTTTTCAGCTTTATAAATGTTGAATTTTTTCCCCCAAAAGAAAGACTGGAAGTTTAATCCATTGGTACTAAACTGCCACAGATATTTTTTTGCCCTTGATTTTTCCTTTGCTGTCCTGGAGCTCACACGAGGCTTAGGGTTTGCCAGAGCTGTTGGCAGGGACTGGGGACACACATCCCTGCTGGACATTGTCCCTGTCACTGGATTGCATGCCGTATCATTGGGAGGCTCCAAAAGCGAGGATGCCTTGGCTTTGCCAATGGGCAGCATGGTTGCTGGGAGGGGACAGCCAGGTGAGGGCTGTCTGTGGGTCCTGGGGTGCTGGAGAGCATCTGGTGCTGGACCATCCGGTGCTGGTCAGGTATTGTCCCAGTTGGCCCCTGAGGCTGCACAGGGACGTGCGAGAAAGCACAGAGCACACGGAGGGAGATCCTCCCTCCGATACTCCCAGGTAATACCAAGTGATTTTTGTTCTTGGATGTTGCCAAGCTGAGAGTCTGTCCATCGGTAAAAGCCACAGGAGAGAGAATGGCAGAGCATGGAAAGCCGCAGCGGCAGTGGGGTCCAGCACCACCTCACTGTCTTCTGTTGTGGGGGCAGCAGCAGGAAAATTACAGTGGAAAGTGCCACTGAATCGTCTGGAGAGACAGAGTGAGCAGTGACTTCAGCTGGAAGGAGCCTGGGACACAATCCTGCATGTCCCCACTGGGGACCTGTTTGTGGTTTCTGAAGGATCAGACTTCATAAGGCAGTGATTTATCGTACAAGCTGCCCACTTTTGTTATTATTATACACCCGGTGCCTTATTAACATTTGCATTAGATACTGCCTGGGGTTTGTTTCAGCCCCCATCATTCCCTGTGGGTGAGTCACACCGGCGTGGGACAGGAGGTGGGATGGGAGGTGGGATGGACCCTTGTGCCAGCAGCTGGGGGCCTGTGGACAGGAAAGAGAGCTAAGAGAGTAGAGGGCAGAAGCATCATCCTCCACCCGAAAACCCACAGATGGTCCTGGGCCACCCCTGCAGGTCTCTGTGTGGGGGCTGGCACTGCCAGGAGCGGGGCAGGTGGAACATGGCCACAGTGCTTGGTGTAGGAGGGGAAGGGGTGGTTGGTGGCCCTGTGGTGGCTGGCTTTGCC